ATCCCCGGACGAATCAGAGAGGCTACGTGGAGGTTCACATGCAATCCCATTCAGCAAGACTGACATCGGAGAACGCCTGCTCCAACTTTGTGCTGACCATGGACTGTTTCTGTCAAGCACGAACTTCTCGCACAAAAACGCCACCGTCTTTCATGGAGACCGCCAACCGCTTCACAGCGCTGGACTCAAATCGACCACATTGTCATCAGCCACCGCTGGCGAGGATACATTGAAGACTGTCGCTCGCACTGGTCAACAACCGTGGACACGGACCATGCTCTGCATCGAGCGAGATTCTCTCTACGCCTAGTAAACAAACTCAGAAAAGCCGCCGAAAACGGATACCCAAGATACAATGTCAGCAATGGTTGCAAATTGTCATTCGAAGCGGAACTGTCAGATCGCCTCTCAGCTTAAACATCAGCCGGAGGACTCGGTGAGCACTGGACGGCAATCAAGGAGTCGATCCAAATGTCAATCGAAACAACAGCCAATTCTGACTTACGATCAAATAAAAAACGATGGATCTCCCCGGCTTCGGTTGCCCTGCTGGACGCTGGCAAAGCTATTCCTTCGGATTGAAACTACGATGAAGCGCGCAAAGCCCTTAAACGCAAATTCATCAAGAGTCTGAGGAATGACCGCGAGAACAGGTGGGTAGGAAAGTGTAGAGAGATGGAGAAGGCTGCGGCTATCGGTTATAGTCACAATCTTTTCCGATTAATTAAGAGCACAGGTCCAAGGAAAACAGGCGCAAGTGATGTAATTAAGGAGTCCGATGACACACTGATCCGTATTCAGCAAGACCGTCTAGATCGATGGGCAGATCATTTTAAAGCTCAGTTCAGATGGCCTTCATCAGCATAAGACCTCCATAAACCCGATTCAACTGTGCAAATAATGTCAGTTGACATCAGCCCTCCATCTGAAATAGATGTTACCCGAGAAATAAGCTATCTGAAAAGGTGTAAGGCTTCTGACCCCGACGGGCTGTCCCCATCGGTTTTTAAGGATAGAGGTTCAGCCTTGGTTTTGGAGTTAACAAAACTCCTGGGTTCAGTATGGGAAAATGAACAGGTTCCAACTGAATGGTGTGAATCGGTGATCATACCGATTTACAAGAAAGGTAAGAGACCCTCTTGTGAAAACCACAGAGGAATAAGTTTAATCAACATTGCATCTAAACTTCGCGCCGGCATCATACTTGTCGACTGTCTGTCGCTCGGGAAGAGTTCACACGTGAGAACCAGGCCGGTTTCGGACCTGGTCTAGGTTGTATCGGCCACATCTTCACTCTCCGTCAAATCTTAGAACACAGACACTTTCCGTAGACCCACCATTTTCATCTTCCTTGACCTGAAAGCGGCTTTCGACTCAGTCGACCGCTCTAAACTCTGGTACTGCCTTTCCCTGAAGGTTGTGCCTGCGAAGTTTATTTCAATACTGCAATCCCTCTACAATAAAAGCTGAAGATGAGTCCGAGCTTACGGCACTTTTTCACCGTAGTTCACTACAAAAAGTGGTGTTCGATAGGATTGCCTTCTCTTTCTCTTTCTATTTAACTTTGTTATAGATTTAATTATTGAAACTTCAAAGTGTAAAATGCTGCTCCAAGATTGGGTTGGCCCAGCCTCACCCTGACCGGAGAAGTTGTAGAGAAAGTAGATAAGTTTTGCTATCTGGGCAGCTATGTCTCACCTGGCGGACACATCACAGATGAAGTGTCGGCGCGCATACAGAAAGCTTGATTGGCATTTGCCAACTTGAGACATCTGTGGCGCCGTCGCGACATCCGGTTGTCTGTGAAGGGTCGAGTATATGCTGCAGCAGTTCGGCCAATTCTGCTTTACGGTGCAGAGAATTAGCCATTACGGGAATAGGATAAAAATAGATTGTCGGTGTTCGAACACTGCTGTCCACGTAGCATTGCACGAGTCTGATGGGGAAACCGGACGGGCAATGCTGAGGTTAGGCGTAGAGTTTTAGGCAATCGCGGTCGTCCACTGGAACAGGTAGTCGACCTCCACAGATTACGCTGTTTGGGAGATGAGCTACGCATGTCACCAGATAGGTTACCACGGCGAGCGATGCTTACCGAGGCACGTAGCGGTTGGAAAATAATGAAGGGCGGTCAGGCCAAGACCTGGCATGAGGGTATGAAAACTCTGACCAGGAGACTGGCTCACACAGGTCCCGTTAGGCTCCCTGACTGGGGACCCAGAGATGATGGTCACCGGTGCTTAGGGACACTGAGTGATATGGCTGGGTGTCGCAAACATTGGCGCTTATTCATCTACTCATTATTCTTGTAACTTCAGTCCATGAAAATGCGGTATCTTCCGCTTGAATCTGCTCTCAATACTCTAAGCATTCTGCTGTTTTATCCAAATGGGCCACCAGAAGACAGCAACCAAAACCAACGCACGAAAGTGCATGGTTAATGGTTGTAAGAAAAGAACTGAACTAAACTGAAAAACCCCATTAGGTGAAAGAAAGTACTATATTCCGCAACGGGGACTAAACCATTGGGAAGCATCGATGTTTTCTAATGGGATTGTTATGAAACCAGATCAAGTCAATTTAAGTCACGAATTGCTTTATTCATCTCCATGGATTAACAAATAGGATGGGAATGAGGCAAATAATTGGGTGCATATGGAGAAAAATGGGAAACGGTCTAGTTAGTAATGCAACTCCAAATCGGTCATCAGTACTCTTAATGGTGCTCGTATCTATTAGATCAACATGTCTGATGGCATTTACAACCCAGACAACTTGAAAACTTTTCATCTTTTCCGAATGTAGGGATCGTAAACTCAAACCAATCTCGGAACAACAACTGAGGATGACAAACCGCACGCTTATTTGATAGACAACCGAAGGATATAAGGAGAGAAAAGTGGCCAATAACACAAAGGTTTCTTCTACTAGGCGCTTTATGAAAACTGAATTCGTTGGTCACCTTGATACAGGATCACAAACGATCACGAACGATGAACGATTTGTCGCGTGCCAACTTAACTGTCTTACAAAAGCATTAGCACTTAATTCAAAAGGATTTCGAATTCCTTCATTAATGTGTTTTCCTTTGATTATCGGATTTTCCAGAGGATTAGTTGTTCCACGTAATATCGTCGTGTGATTTTGTATTATGTTTAAGTGAGACCACTTTGGTTGGCACGCACATTTGATTTGTGAATGCGAGTAACACAATTGTTTTTTTCTCCCGTTCAGGTTTTAGTGGATTCGGAAGAAGGACACCTTTTGCTGGAGAAAGAGGACTCGGGAAACAATACTGCATTGCTCTTGGCCGTACGCGTAGGCTGTTTTAAGACAGCCAATGTGAGTTATATCCTTTCTCTTTATGGCTAAACCATTGAAGTCAATTTCCTCATCGCGGCAACACAAACTCCAAGTCAATGCAAATTGATAGGTGTGTGGTAGAAAATGGTTTAGGATGCGTCGTAGACTGGTTACCAAGAAATCTACTGTAAAAAATATCGGAACACAATATTTCCCATTTCGTTGCTCCAAATAAAACGTAATAGTTTAGGTTCAAAGATATTTTAGTCCTTATTTGAGATTCTGCACGTGGTCGAAGCTTGTGAATCTGACAGGGCCGTAGAATTTATTCGGAACACTCCTTCCAAGGGGTAGATTGCATTCTTGTTACTAAAATCTTGGCTCGGTAAATCTAATGGCAGCCGAACCAAACATAGTTCTATTGAGATGATTAAAGCCTGATCTTAGATTATTTCACAGTTAACTCTACCTGTCAACTCGAGAAGTTTTGTGACCTTTTCATGAGGCAGCGCAATCATATTATTCATTCCGAACGACTTACTGCAGTTCTGAAATTCTAAGTGCGTTTGAAAATTGGTAATTGTCCAGTTTCGAATAAATTGAAATTTGCTTTGTTCTTTATAATGCCAATGTTAGTTTAGCGTGCCAAATGTACGAGCGTTCACAAACTAGATGCCACAATTATTGGGTGCAATATATGTATATTGATGAACCGGCATGGGGCTGAGTGAAGATACGCATTACGGGTTGAGCAATCAATATCCGACAGTCACGAATGCCTTAAAGAACCGGAACAAACGTCATCACATGACGGGTTGAATTGCACTACTTTGCACTACCTCAGTGGCGCTTACAAAACACGTATGCGAAAGGGGCACCAGAACAAAAAATTCGGAGGGATCTATTCTTGAGGTAGCTCGCGACCTGCTACTGCTGCTTTCTTTAATGCAGAGACGTAAATAATCAGAAGGCTTAATGCCTAGTTCTTTAAGAGGAGACTCTGCTACACCTTGCGGCTGGATTGATTTGCCAGGTTTATCTGGAAAGCAATTCATAATCCAAAATACCTTCATGAATACGTAATGCAAGTCAATAGGAGTAATTCCACTAGTTACTGGAACCTTCACTCGATTATTGTCTGTGCTTTGTATGACTATTGTCACTCCAGTTCACATGGCGTCGCGGACGTTCGATGATGTTTCCTCGTTCATAGCTGGAGATTAGTGCTTTTGTGACCCGGGTGGCAGAAACACGATACAAAACGATAGCAGCATATTTTACAATAATCCGAAGAATATACGGTAAGACCATTTGGGAGGGGCAGAAGTGATCCCAATACACATCGTCGATCCACCAGTGCGCACAAAAAGACAATTGCACTCACGTTACCATGATATATGGTGCATGACCCAAGTTCATCAAACTATTCCCGGTCCCAAAGACCTGACGGTTCATCTTGTTCGATCCTCATTTATCTATTCTTCCCACCGTGTTCGTGCTTACCAGTTATATAAATTGATGAACTGTTTACTTTGCCTTATTATTATTATTCTGCAGTACTTACTGGAGAAGGACGCCAATGTGTTTGCAGTGAACTCGTTTGAGCATGGCGCTCTTCACGTGGCCGCTATGCACGGTCGATACAGGTAAAAAATGGAGCTTTACATTTCGGTGAATCCATCTGCATTTTTGATGAGCCTGTTAGTGCTTTCTAACGCATTAGTGTTTCTCAAATGAATGTATTTTTTATGCATAAAAAATATGCCTCATTGTGGAAATGTTCCTTCGCCTCCGTTGCACCATCATGATTTATCAAGTCAAATGCGTTTGATGAAATGCATCTGTGAGTAAATGCATTCAATGCCGATAGGTGCACAAATTAAGTGATTCTGCAATCACTCATATTCGTAGATCAGTTAGCACTGTTTAGCTCATTCAGTCCAAATTGACAGTAGTTGTCTATTCAGGTTGAATTAGAAATATTTTTACAAGAATATTATTATTCCATTGATGATTCCCATGGTAACATTTCAGAACGAGACACAAAATGGTGAGGAAGCTCTTTTTCGGTAACTTCCTCGTCTGGCGAATACAGACATATAAATAGGTAAAAGGCATATCACATTTACATAACGTTTGACTTGTGTGTGTTGATTAGGTTGGTAGATATAATTAGTTGTTTATGTGTAGTTTACAAACAAAAACGGAGTGGTGGAAGGATGGGAAAAGGGACGTGTCACAAGAGGGATTAGGAGCGAGTCAAGGTTAACCATCACCTGTTTGGGGTACGGAGTCAATCGCAAGGGTCAACGGGTCATGGAAAGAGTCAGCTCCAGTCATGCGACTGAATTCACTCCGTGGCCATGGCAGTTGAAGTGCTTCACCGAATCGTTTTTGGGAACAAAGCGATGGGTTAAACAGACGAATGGCTGCTGCCTCAGCTGTTGCTCAATGTTGCTGGCGAACAGCCTTAGATGGATACGGAGGAACGTGGTAGATCACCTTGAAAGCAATCTACCAATCCAATCAATACACACAAGTCAAACATTATGCAAATATTACATGGCTTTTACCTATTTATATATCTGTATTCGCCAGATGAGAAAGTCATCGAAAAAGAGCTTGTTCGCCATTTCGTGTTTCTTTCTCAAATGTTATTATTATTTATTTGAATGATAAGTTAGGCAGTCAATCTCTGTAAAACATAGAGGCCCAACTAGGGTACACCAAAAACCAGAGAGTTGTAATTCCTAAAATGTTTCTCTTCAGCGGGCCTTCATACACGGAAATTTATTCATTCAAAAGGGTTCAAGTGAGATTAGGTCACATGAAGGAAAGTTATCTATCAACATTTAATTTGTATTTACGAGATTTGGGCCTTGGACGGACCCACCTCAGATCTTTTGTTGCGGTGGGTCTTATGTAAATTCGTGGGTTAGATGATTGCGCGGAACAAATGCTCAATAGTGAAGATGCCACTCAATTACCGAATTGAACGACAACTCAAAGTGAAAATCGTTCAGGTGAAATAATAAGGAAGGCAAGAATCAATTTAAAAATTGTGAAGTCAGGCATTATGTGCGAATTTCAGACCAGTATTTAGTGTACCCTTGGTCACTGCCCTCAAACAAACAGAAACTACTCCGTTGGGATAAATTTCCGGGTTCGAAATGTTTCCATTTAAGTGATCACCTCAGAGGCTCATGCTGAAATGAGTCAGACGAGGTTCTCATAAAAATCCACAGTTTTATTGTGCTGTATAGTGTAGAGAGATCAATTAAAACAGTTTTAATTGTTCGATAGTCTATTGGTCAGTATGTCTGCGTCCTACCTGTGAGCTCCCGATTCTTCGGTCCGCAGTTGTACCAATGAATTCATCCGGCCGATGAAGCCACCCAAAATCATAATAGCTTTACAGCTCCTCTTTCTTTTGTGTTCTAAGTTTTTTGTGTTGTGCATACAAAACATAACATTAATTAACATTAAATTATATCGTTGTCTTTTGGCTTGCATCAATAAAACTAAGGGATGATGCAATGAATGACAGGTACAACTGCATTTCTTCAGGGTATTGATATGACCTCTATCCTCGTGTAATCAATTAACGTATACCTGGAATGGAATTCTTTGCTGTCTTGATACAAAATGAAACGAAAATATTCGCTTTTCCTTCGTCTTTTGTACCAACAGAATCGCTATAGAACTTCTCAAAAGGATACCATGTGCGGCTTTTAATGCGGATGAGGATGGAAATTTACCGGCACATTTGGCCGCCAAACACGGCTTTCCGCAACTGTTGCAGAAGTTATTGGAACAGTCACACACGCTACATGAGAGAAACGAATTCGGCTGGACACCACTGATGTGTGCGGCTGTGCACAACAGTTTCGACTGTGTCCGATTACTAATCAAAGAGGGAGCCAAGGTGAACACAAAAGACAAATCCAATGTGAGTAAGAGAGAGAGAGATTACAACGCGAATGAGGAGAAGTTTATGTAACACGGCACCGATCAACCTTGGTTTTTGGGTCCCATCCATTTGTGGAATGACCTAATGGAAAGTTCAGATGAGTGAAATATCAGAATTGAATATTTGGTAGTTATTTTTTCCGTCCGTCCCGACAATCTTCCCCTGTTTTCCTTTTGGGTTGAAAAGTGTTCGTTTTTATCGAAGATTTAAATTTTTCCGAGCAAACATTCAGTCAAATTTTGATGTAGATTGCTTATATAAAGGAGACCGTGTTCACCGTTCGTAATTTTCCGGTTTTAACATAGGGGTATTTCTTTGATGTCTAAATGTGTTGCACTTTCTGGATACTGTCCAAAACGGTATTCAGGCTGTTAGACTTAGATGAGACTCGTTCAACTGTTTTTTTCCATTCAATCACGTAGTGCACATCACGATCAAAATGTGATCAAACAGCTTACCACACTGAGGAAAATAGGGACATGCAGATTGGCACGGCGCATTGTGCTGCTGCATGATACGACTGGGTTTTGATTATGAGTACACTGAATGGATTACAAGTTCTGACGTCTTTTAGATAGATAAGTGTCTTTTATTGACTTTCTCGTGTGAAGAATGACTATGGATCAATTTATTTCACCATATTCATTGCTGAACGTTTTAATGAATTTCCGTCTTAGAACTTAGGACAGTTAGCAATGCAAAAAGTCCACCGTGGATTTCACAAGAGCTTATGAAATCGGACTTGTTAGGTTTATCATGAGCACAAACGTACACTGCCCCATCCACCTTTCATTGTCAGTTGTGTTCAGTTATATAGCTATTCAGTGGATGAATAAGATGCGTGCTTTTTCACATTTCCTGCTTTGTGTATCCGTTTTGTGATCATCGCAGCTAAACCTGACATTGTTCAATGATTAGTGGGTGTATATCAGTTGGTTCTTTTTTAAACGTTCGCCAAACATTCACCGTCTAAGTTCTATCATTGTGCATCACGGAATGAAAGAAGAGGAAATACCATTAGTATCATTCATCGGCATTCGTACAAATTCTACTCTCAATACAACGCTTTAAGATCACGTGGTGGATTTGAAACCGACCGCTCTGTTTGTCCCAAAATTAGTCAGCCGAGTGTCACCTGATCAGCGTGACTTCACTGGATTCACCACTGCCGTGTATCAGACAAAGGATGACATACCAACTGTTTTTAAGATTCCTCTCATCTGGTGTGATTTAGCAACTCTATGTTCTTCGTACTATTCATCGTTTCATCGTTACTTGGTTCTAGCCTAGTCTCCTATCCTGGATTACTCCAAAAATTGCTGAGATACTACAGAACGGCTACCTGGAAATTTTCCATATTGGGCTTTTTGAAGGGATTTCATTGTCTGAAGCACTGCAATTGTGGACCCTAATGGTATAGATCATTTGTGTAACATCAATAATGCGGCGGTTATTTTGATACCTTTGAAACACAATGAAACTCAAGATGTAATGATAGCTAAAGGCGTGCATTAATGAGCTGCAACTAATAACCCAAATGGAATTAATCTAGTTTACGAAATAATTAGAAAGGTGAGATAGCTGGAAACACGAAAACTGTTTCATCCAAAATTGCTCCCATTATGGTTTGCTGTTCAAAAATTTTGATGGCCAGCTATGAAACATTTCTATACACAAATCATTAAACCTCCACATCCGTGAAAGCGGATAAATGCTAATCCGGTTCAAAGACTTCATATCAAAAGGATGAAATGGAGATAATTTATACCTGATAGTTAGACCCCATTTTTCACCCCACAAGTGGTTGTTTCCCTCGATTTTTCCCTATTTTTCTATTTATTTTTATGAAATTTGAATTTTCGGATTTTCCTTCCCCAAAAGGACTCACCACACCACCGAACATACTTAATCCTCATTAGTCCATTTTTCCGTGTCCCACCACTTTTGAGCTAATTTCCAAGGTCATTGATGGCCGGTCCCAAACTCTATATAAACAGACGAGTTGTCCGCTAGCTCCCTAGTGCGAAATATTCAACCTCGCCTGAAGGACGTGTTGTCTCTTGTCGGATTCGGGGGTCGCACTGCTTTCGTGAGGTGTTTACGGTTTACGGTTCCACTGGGATTTGCGTTGGGATACCGCAGTCGAGCGTAATCGTGTATCGTTCACTGGGTCGTACGGTTCCGTTCGTGGTCATTACTGCCGCGTGTATCGTTGGGTCATGGCTTGCGCTAGTCCAGCCGTATCATCCACCCCAAGGTTACAACAATATCTCTATTTTCTATTACTGCGATTGGTATTTTTTAATTTCGTTTACACAGCAAATATGATAAAGCCGGTGAACGTGACGGTATGTGGTAGAGAATTTAATACGTAAAAGTAGCTGATGTATTTCAAGTTGCTTGAATGTTATTGGGATGGCTTGGGAATACAAAAAACATGAATTCCTTTTTCTCCATATCTGGTAACATAGGACTGTCACCATGCCCAATTTGCGTAGTTCCTTTTCCTTTGTCGAGCTTGTCTAACAAAACCAACGATTTAACAAGACGTTTCTTTGACTTTTGTGTCTCGTTTTGCGTCACCTAGGGAACTAAATCTAGAAAGTATACGTTTTTTTTATCAAAACCCTAGTATCTGTTAATAGGTGATAAACCTGGGTCAGATTTTGTTGAAAACGAGAGAAAATGCACAACGCGATCAAATCTCTATCATCTTTAGATTCTACGCCCCTTAGCACAGTATTGGTTTTAATGTTTCCAAACCGTCTAAAATCATTGGTCTTTAAATGTTAGGATAGACCGATAAATTTGTGCATCCGCATCAACAGTTCTGAGTTTACACACGGAGTACAACTTAGGTTTTCGTCTTCTCTCGCACACACCTCCTCCTCCCCGGGAAAATTTCCGTAGATGACTCCGTTGTTCGTAGCTTGTCAGAAAGGTTATTTCACTGTGGCCAAGGAACTTCTGAGTCATGGTGCTCTGCCGAGTATTCGAGTGTTCAACACGCATGCACTTTATCCTGGTTGGAACGCCCTGGACATTGCAGTACATGAGCATCAGTTGTAAGTTTGTTCAGCCTGAGACTAACTGACCAGTTGTATGTGCTTTGTTGATCTAAGTTCTTTTAGTTATGTTCTGTGTATTATAAACGCTGTTTGGGTGTGTTTCTTGTCCCACTTCACAAGCACTGATGATGTCACCTCGGCTGGAGATGAAACGTTGGCAAACAAATTGCCAAGCTCGGCGAACAGGCGAAATGGAATTTTTCGTAATATTGCATATTCACGTAGATCCTTACAAATATGATTTTTTAACTTTGGTCAGATACCTATACCAAATCGTGATCCTCTACCTAAGGTTTTGATTCCCCGGCGCGTTGTTATTCTCGCCAACAGGAATTGTGTCCGTCTGATTATTGACAGTGAATATCGAGAGGCAGCGTTGAACAATGTAACCGTGGATTCATTGGGCGTGCGTACAAATCCACTTCGGCGAATGATCAGGAATTTACCAGGTGAGCACTTAGACTGCCCGATCCTAACTAGTATTGGGTCGCACACCGGTTTGAAAAGTGTGCACTAGTTTAGAACGTGAGTGTGGTACTACAGTTTGAATAATTACCGCAAAACCCCAGTGTGAATCTAGCGGCACACTTTAATTTATCGCCTGCAGCATGCATTCAGGTGCAGAATGCTCAGAATGAGCGAAATCGGATGCATGCAAAAGGCTCGCAATATCCTGGAAATGAATAGAGTATAAATCTTCTGTTAACTTACTCCCTGACCAAGTGGTTGCTGTGTCTGCATTCCACCTTTGAAGTAGCCGGTTCTATGCTCATGTTGTTTGGTGGAATCGCTATACTAATGAGATTCACGACCGTGGTGGTGCTTCTAGTTTTTCACTCCATATTTCCATTGCTTTGCACTCGAAGACGTTTATCCTCCTGGGTAAACCTTCGCTGAATATCCTCCACTCTGACTGATGAAAATTATTTTACTTTAATATTGTGGTATATCACCACTTTATTTGCATATCTGAAGCCACCTCGTTTCTCTTTGTTAATTCTTCAGAGGCTGCGGATTTCGTTATGTCCGCTTTTGTTGAAACAAGCAATCGTCCGCCAACCGCTAAAGACTTCAGTATTAGCTTTGATTTCCGTTTTTTGAATGATAAGAATATGCTACAGGATTTCGACCCGGATTTTGATGAACGCGTTTCCACACGATCCAGTGTAACAAGCATCTCAGAAGTAGGTTTGTTTTTTGTTCTGTAACCGATTACTCCCCCCTCCCCTTATATACACACATACACACACATACTAAAAAACCAACAAAATCCGGTTTGATTTAATGGGTAAACCAAAAAAATAAATAATCATTTGTTAAAGAACCTTATTCTTAGTTGATTTTCTCAAAGTTCGTTTGATCCGTTGCAAGTTGCATAGATGATTCCCGTTCAGTAAAACTGAAAATCATACTGACCACGGGGGAATACCGTGACAAGATCTAGACGGAATGGTCATATGTGGCGTTTTGATAATGGCTTATTATAGCTTCTCCGCTCGGATTGCTTCCTCTCCCCTCCCATAGAATATGAATGTTTATCGCTATCACACAAGCGCTTTTTATAAGTCTGGACACAAGTGAGTTACTTGGTGATCAAGAAGCTTGATTAAGAGAAAAAAACTGGCGAACTCTAATGAGCTGAGATTTTAGACGCTTTCTGCAAATGTGGAATAAAATCAACAAGCTAATCCGAGCACTCAAGCCCAATTAATGTTTTTAAAGCAATACATCTTTACAAACATCAATTATGTTTCTTTCCCAATCCAAAAAAAGATTTAAATTGAGATAACCATAAGATGCTTTTGAATGTTGCTTTAAGTATTTATTTTGCATCCTTACATGATTAACACAGCAAACTGGATTTGCATTCTATAACCATTCAGCATTATTTTTATTTATCTCGTCGGGCTCATCAATTAACACGGAGTCATTGAAGCCACAAACCTCAAGCTAAACAAATTTTTCGGCGATTACATTTCATGGTTCGTTTCAACGCTTTTAGTTTCGTACTTGATGCTGCTGCCTTGGTCCTCTGAAGCCTTATTCACGCACGCCTGAGGAGTCTGTTTTCAGCTATTTCACGAATGAACAAGTGTGAAATCATCATATTTGCAGTGTTCACTGAGTTCTTCAGTTTACACACTTTCTTTCACCACATTGAAATCCGATTTTAATAGAATTCTGATGCAATGCAAATACATAATACAACGCATAACATGATCTCCTTAAGAAGTGAAAATAAGAATAACAGATTCTTTCAATATCGTAAATTTCCATGCTTCTATATTCGTGTATTTCAAACATATGGCAATAAACAGACCACTGGAAAGATGGAACAATGAATACATTTAAAACCTTAGATCAATTTTACAAGCAGATGGGTTGGTGATCAGTTTTACTGTCAATATAAGTTTGATGTTGATGGTTCTGTGTCTGCCAGTGTCCACTTACTTAAGCCCAATCAGTTTCCGAAAGTCATTCATCAAGTGAAAGCTATATATATATATATATATATATATATATATATCGTTTATGTCGACAACAGTGAACCTCGTAGGGTTAAAGCAGATCTAAAGATGACGTTGATTACCTCAATAGTTTTTTTTTCAATTTGGGATAATTCTTTTGTCAGCTGTTGTCACGGTTGGCCCTAAGTAACCAAGAGTTACATTGCAGTAAAACCATGTTGAAGATAACATGGCTCGTTGCGGTTCTTCCTATGTCTAACAATCACACACAGCGAATCAAACCACTGAGACAACTGTTGTGAGTGCATTTTCGGTCCCACCAACGCGGTTCTTCGTGATGATTCATCCGTTGCTTAGCAAACAATATTTGTTTGGTCACGCGAGCCTGAGGCAAAGTGATGTAAAAACTTACCGGTTCTTTAGTACAGTCAGATCACAATAACTTCCCCAATGACCGAGTGTATGGTTTGTTTCACCTCTGTTTCAAACAAGTCAAATTCCCACACGAGCAATCTCCACTGATGAGAAAAACTAATCCGATCTTATATCTGCTGAGCAGAGAACTAAATGAGATGAACGGTCTAAGCAGACTTCCTTTGCAGTTTGTTCGCGGCAGTTTAAACCTGATGCATCATTTGAAAAATAAGACAAGACGAAATCTTTGGTCTGTGCATAATAAAAATGCTATCGCTAGCTGTAATTCATAAACAGATATTTGAAATGTTCAAATGAAATGAAATGATCCGAACTTATACACGGTGTAATAGAAACAGGGGGTAAAGCATCCCTTTCGGGAGAACGTTTTGTTGATGCAAAGAGTGATAACAGGTTTAACTCACGATGACAGGCCAATATTAGGTATTGTGAAAATAACCACAAGAAGGCAGGTACAAAATAAATTTGTTTTCGGTGATTCACTGACTAGCTAAAACTACATCGCCAAGGATATCCTGAGCCATTCACCAATAACAGCATGGCTACTGGCGTACAGAAATCTGTGTTTAAAGCATCACGTATTAAGATTTTGTTCATTTTATCCTGTTTAAAGGTGACCGCCTATAAACTGAGTCCATAATTACATACGTCTACTCTGCCGCTAAACCTGGTGTTGTGTTTGGCTTAGAAATTGGCTTCTCTTCGCGGACAAAAAATGGGAACTTCCTATGTATATATCACTTCGTTTCATATGTACTAGTTCATTTGCTGTTTTGGAGCAAGATATCAAAGTGACCGGTTTGTTGTGCCAAGGTACTCGTTCATTACGTCAGTCTCATAATTAACATAAATAAACTCCCTGTATATTTACAATGGATAGATTAAGTGAGGACATTTGTTCTGCAATGGTCTTAGTGGAACCGTGTTAGCTTTTCTTGCTTCACTGTAACTTTTGCCAGTTATAGAACCACGAGTGTTTTATACGGCGAATTTAAATTGACCACCAAAACACGCCTACTTTCACTCCACGAACTATATTTTAGAGTGATGAGCGTGAAACCGGCATACAACAAGGTACCAAAAAGGCCGAAAGTTGACATCCAGGAAACTCGATTTACTAGGTATGTTCAGCGGCGGCAAGGTGTGTTGAATCCGGAATTCTGGTTAAACTTGTCTATTGAGTGCAAGGACACTCTAGAATGTCGGTTCTCTCTGTCCTTCACCTCTTCCTGTGTGCGCGCTGGAGATCTGTTGTACCCTGTAGTTGTAGTCCTAATATCGCTTTGTTAGTTTTGGAGTTTCGAGACTGCCGAACATGCCCTCGGGGATCATACTTATGTAACAAAAATACTATATTTTTCATCACGTCGTTTACTGTTCCATGCAAACCTTCTTATTTACCACGCGGTTGAAGTGACGTTTGGCCAATAGAAAAACAGGAATACTTCTCCTCAAGCAAAATTCAAGTTTGAAACATTGGGTCCTCTTTATCCAATTCGTTAGAACAGAGAAAAGACTAATACTGCGAGATGTTAACACTTCTTTTAATCTCTTCAGTCGCTACAACGTAAAACAATCTGGTATTTATACAAGCAAGTT